ACCGCTCAAACCGCGTCGATTTATATATAGCTGATAACGAGTGCAACTGTGAAATAACTGAGCTTTTCACAAACGAGTTTGCGTAGGAACTTCATCTGTTTGGAGAGACAGGGGTATCTGTGCGGGAGTAGACCAGAAGTTTTTGCCTTTTTAAACTGGTTGTTCTTTCCATCGCCATGTCCTCTGGTGATGTGTCAGAGCAGTGTCGGCGGTTTTGCGTGTTATCTTGGGAGCAGGTGCAACGTTTGGACTATATTCTTGGCGAGACGGTTCCAGTTCACGGACGTGGAAACTTCCCGACGCTTTCGGTTCAGCCGCGACAGATTGTTCAGGTTATTGTGAATGCACATCACTGAATACGCTTTCAGCACTACACCATTTAGTTATAAACCGTCTTTATAATATTTGACCTTTTTTTTTTTGTGGCTATTTCATAATGATATACATATGGCTAGATTGCTTTAAAATGCATTCCTTAAAACTAGTAGGCTATCATTTTATGTCACTTTTGTAATCACTAGTAAATAATCCAAAAGTGAGCTGCATTTCTTATTTCAGTTTCACTAACAGTTAGTATTTTTCGTTAGTACTTAGTATTCTAGTAGTGACTAATATCTATTCAGTTACTAGGACCCTTGCACTATCCCAAGGTAACAAGTCAGTATCATCTATTTGCTTCAGACTATTATGTACTGCAGTCAGTACTTACTACTAACTATTAATTTAATAGCATTTATTTATTGTAACTATTAAAATAGTAACCATTATCTATTACAGATGTCCTGTACTAAATGAATGTACATTATCAAACACTATTGTGCATTTCAGTGTACTAGTACTAGTATTTCAGTTTACTGTGTACTAGTAACATTTAAATCTGATCTATAAAGTAAAAACTAATTCAAACTAGTAATAACTGAAATTGATAGTGTCTTATGCATACTAGTAAAGCTGGAATAGATACTAATACCGATGGGGACTACAAGTAGGCTACTAGAACTTAATGAAGAGTTACTAGTGAAAAATTTGAAATACATACTAGTCAGAAGTGAATGTTTAATAGCAGAATGACAGATGCTTACAGAATTAAATGGCAACAATGTGCAACAGAAATGATATTAGTAACTGTAATAGTTACTAGTAGCAAAGGAATACTAGATATGAAAAAGTACTAGTGAAATTTAAAACATGCTATTCATTATTGGTTTACTAGTAAAAAAAAAAAAAGTTCTAATGAGCTAAAAGTCTTTGGTCAGATGAAAGTGTATAATTTTAAGGGATAAATGTGAAAATTATTACTCAAATTTGATTTAGTTATTCAATTTTTGACCTGTCACTGCTTGACCAACTATTGGTGTAATGTCTCAACCACCCCAGGATAAGCAAAACATTCTTAGCCTTTGCCCCTCCAGCAGATACAGAAAACTGTGCACTTGGCAAATTTAAGAGAGTTGTTAATGACTTGGACGTTCTCACGAAAACTACACTTGAGTGTGACTCATTACCGACCATAATCCCATGCAATGTAACACTGCTTGAGCTAGTCCAGTGATAACCTGCATCAATGTCCCCTTCTCAATGAAAATAATTCTTGTTCTCATACACAAGCAGTGTGGGCTTGCATCTACACATGCAAGCAGATATTGATCTTTTCTCCAGATCACTTCCTTCAGTACTGCTTCACTCAACAAGAGAGGGTTTGTTTTAAGTGCTTTAGGGAGAATGCTCTTGCAGTTTCACAGAAAATGTGTTTAAGCTTCAGCGTTTCATGTATATGATCCCATATGGCAGCAGTGTGAGGGAAGTTGTCCGTCAGTCATATCTACATCTGTTATCTTTTATTTCAGTCTTCTCAGATACTGTGAATGCTTTATTCAGTGACATGCCTTAGATCCTAAAAATTGGCCTAAAAATGGCCCCTATTGGTTCTAATTATATGAAGACACAAAGTAACTATGAACTTTGGAATCTGACAGTTTCCCTTCCTTTGATCCAGTTCTGCTGGACCGTAATGAGTGGTCAGTCTCTGTTTCATAATACTCCATCTGCCTGGGTTTGAACAGATAGTAATGTCCTGTCAATAAAACCCAACTAGGAAGCCCATTATATTTAATGGAAAACCTGTAAAAACCAGCTTTGATGTTTTATTACACAGCCTCCACATGCTATTGCAAAATTGACAAAAGATGGCCGCTCGTTCACTGTTCCTCGTTTTCCTTAACCCTAATGATCTGCCACGGCACCATCTCATTACATGGACTTGTGGCTGTTTTCATTATCATCATAACGGCTGTGATGTATAAAATGTAGGTTTTGAATGCAACTGCGAACCTGACTTGGCGTCATCTTAATATCATAATATTCACATGCGTTGAAAGGTGATCCGGTTCGGCCCTCAAGCCTTTGGTGGAAACTGAAAAAACATTGAGTTTCTGTTTGTCAATGGCAATATTTTTTGAAACACCATTGATTGATGTTAATACAGACAATAGTCTATTATTAAATCAAGTAAATACACTTTTTGTTTAAATAAATCACACCTTTTATGGTTTAATAAATTGCACTCTGCCAAATTGCAGTTTCATTAATCAATGTGCTGCAAACAAACCTGTAAAACTGTATAATGTGTTCTCAGCATGTGTACAGACGCACGTCATGCATAGTTTCACTGCGTTCACTCGGTCAATTGCTGCAGTCTGACCTAATGTGTAAAAATAGAAGGCTAATGATTTGATTGACAGGAGTGAGGGTAGGGGATCTGATTGACACTAATCCGACAGAGCTGTGGAAAATGAAGGTTGCGTGCATTCAGGACAGAGATAATGAGTTTGATTTAAGCACTTTTTAATCTCTGAATGGTTGCACAACAATTTGAATAGCATACAAATCTGCTTGGCATGCATAAAATGTGGTCTGCACCAAAATCCATAATTCTGCCTTTATTGAATTAGACATTTATGAATGTGTTCTTGATTTCACATTCGTGTCTTTAAGAGACACGAAATCTTAAAACTGCCTCTATCTATATTCATAAGCGAAGCAGTTTTGTATAAGGCTCTGCCTTCCAGAAGGTTGTGCAGCTGTACAGTGCTGCATGTTCCCAAGTAAGTCTGAATGCATTGCTGTCGATGCACTGCACAGATGTGTCAATCTCTACAGTGCACATTCCATATAAATAGATTAATACTGATCTTTATGATGAGCTTCAGCTCAAGTTTATGCATGAAAAGATTTACTGGGAACATAATGGAGATGCTAGTGGAAAAATCAAAGTAAAATAAAGATTTTAAACCTAATAGTTGGTGAATTGAGTTTTTTTTCCTAAGCGCATAGTACATATTGACTTCCAATTTGCAAATAAAGGCACAGCACAAAAGATTAACACATTTAAAAAAAATAGACCAATTAAAGTAAATGATGTTTAATGTGTGCATGTGGCAGGTTCAAATTCTCTCAGGTGTGGTTTAGTTGGAGACATTATTCTATGTCACAACAGCTTGAATTACAGCAATAAAGAGACAAATGTTAAAATGACAGTGACTGAAGACTGTGAATGGATGTGTTAATGATCACTGACTATAAACCAACTGTGATTCTCAGGTGTTCACAGTGTGAGGAAGAATAAATGCAAGCAATCTGTTACATTAGCCATTTTTGAGTCTACAACAGCTTAATAAAATGATGTGTCTTATTAGCCTTTTAAGATAATAAGGTAGCCTAATTATCTAATTGCAGTGGTGGCTGAACAAAGTATCCTCAAATTGTTCAGATAAGCAAGTGCTTAGTGTGGTATTATGTTTGCCAGTGTTTACTTGTTCAAGCAGTGGTTGTATGTTACTGATATTTAATTTATGATTAATACCATAAGCTGAAAATTAGTTTATTGGATAACTGCTAACTGGTTTTGTCTAAATAAATTAAAATCAAAGCACTAAAAAATTAAATTGATCATTTTAAATACTACGAGTGAATTTAGACATCACAAGATTATAAATGGATATTAATTTAGAGTTTTAACAATTCACTTTATGTGAGAGTTAAATGAACACCAATGTCATCTAAATGTAAAAACGTATCCAATATTGGCCAATAAATAAAAAAACTCTAATCTCTGACCTGCAGGTGGTTCGAGCGCGTTTGGAGGAGCGAGGCATCACTGTTCGAGATGTGAGGCTGAACGGCTCGGCTGCCAGTCACGTTCTGCACCAGGACACGGGGCTCGGATACAAGGACTTGGACCTGATATTTGGCGTTTCGCTGTCAGATGACCAGGCCTTCCGCGTGGTTAAGGATGTGGTTCTCGACAGCCTGCTGGACTTCCTACCCGAGGGCATCAGCAAGGAGAGAATCTCAGCACTTACTTTGAAGGAGGCTTACATACAGAAGTTGGTGAAGGTTTGCAACGACACCGACCGCTGGAGCCTCATTTCGCTCTCCAACAACACCGGCAAGAATGTTGAGCTTAAGTTTGTGGACTCTCTCAGGCGCCAATTTGAGTTCAGCGTGGACTCCTTCCAGATAGCCTTGGACTCCCTTCTTCTGTTCGACCGCTGTTCAGAGACGCCCATGTCAGAGTGCTTTCACCCGACGGTGTTGGGCGAGAGCATGTACGGGGACTTCGAGGAAGCTATCGGCCATCTTTGCAACAAGGGCATCGCTACGAGAAACCCAGAGGAGATCCGAGGTGGCGGGCTTTTAAAATACTGCCACCTTTTGGTGCGCGGGTTTCGGCCGACTTCGGAAACGGAGATGAAATCGCTCCAGCGGTACATGTGCTCTCGGTTCTTCATTGACTTTCCGGACATAGGCGAACAGCAGCGAAAGCTGGAGGCATACCTGCAGAATCACTTCGCTGGAATGGAGAACAAACGCTACGACTGTCTGGTCACGTTATACCACGTGGTCAATGAGAGTACTGTGTGCTTGATGGGACACGAACGCCAGCAGACATTAAATCTTATTTCCATGCTCGCACTGAGGGTGCTGGCTGAACAGAACGCCATCCCCACAGTTACCAACGTCACATGCTATTACCAGCCGGCGCCGTACGTGCGAGACATCAACTTCAGTAACTACTACATCGCTCACGTGCAGCCGCTGGTGCACACCTGCAGTAGTTCCTATCCGATGTGGCTGCCCTGCAACTGACCTCTGAGTTCAGCCCTCGTATCTTCCCATGTGGTGACAAGATATGCAAAAAACTGTTTCTTTCCAAACACAAAAATGGACGTTTAGGAGGAGCTTTTTCAAAGCAACAGCAATTGTTTTTATGCTAAATGTGACATATATAGAATGACTGTTCACTGCTGTATGTCTGATTTGAGCCGATCCTTACGTATTCTGTTCTGCAGAGTGGATGAAGATCTTTTTCACATGTAGCAGGGAAAAAAAAGTTTTTTTTTCTTCTCCTAAACTGATTATAGATTCAGTTAAACTCTCGCAGGTTATGTAAATGGGGAAAGAAGGCTGCATTCTGCGTTGTGAAGCTAAGCTATATGTTTTTTGTTTTTTTTTGCCAGACTGTGGTTTCAATCAAACTCTGTTTTGCTTCTTGGTTTTTTAAGGACCAAAGATATTTTATTTTCGTCGTTAAAAAAGAAAGGAATGTTTGCTGGTGTAATTCCAAGTGCCTAAAAACATTGTACAAAAAAAGTGAGACCTGTGCTTTCTTAAAACCATTTTTCTGTCTCCTTGTTAATTGTAAAACTCTATTTTCAGGGATGGAGGCATGTATTTCCATGTGATTAAAAAAAAGCACAAAACCCATCTTCATGTGTTCTAGACCTCTTTTACCTTTTGAAGCTGTTGTGGTCATATTTTGACAACCCAATTTGATAATATTCAAGCATGTATTTATTTTCCCTTTGTGTTGGTGTTTTGGAAAATAATTTCAAATGGTAAGGATTTTCTTTATCAATGGAGCATTTATCATGAGGCATAAGAGGTGAAAGTGGTGAAACTGCAAGTGTAGCAGTGTTGTGGTCTGAATGTGTGCTGCTGACTCTTAATTTGAGGAAATGGATCCATTGCAGTTCCAGGACATGAACCATAAGGATCCTTTCTAAAGCACGATGGCCTCTCTTTTAGTGTGACACTAAAGGTAACAGACAAAGGTTGTTTTGTTAACCCACCCATGCTGCCCCGGAGATAGAATCCTATTTCCTTTCATAATGCCATATCCATGTCATTGTTTTTGTAAACATCAAGGAGTTGGTATTGTGATGTAAGCTAACAGATCTAGGGATGTGATGTTAAAAGCAATTACTACTGATTAGTAGACTAATATATACTGTACTTTACAATTTTGTTAATTGCTTTATGCTTAAGTTTAAATAGTTTAAATAGACTTAAATATTTAATTTTAATTAAGTTTTCTAATTTTAAATATTTAATTTTAATTCAGTTTTCTTGTGATGGTAGTGTAATAGTTACTGGTCTAGACTGGTTTCTGTAAGGGGTGATCCATGAATTCTCCTTTCACTATTGTGCTCTTGAGCCTTTTTGTGCCATTGCCTTTTGGGAATCAATAAATACAGTATCTGTTTAGAAACTCTAGAATAGAATTTCTCTTCCGCACAAACATTAGGAGTGTATGAGAATATGGATGTTTCACTTTTATTAAGGGCTCCTCTGACTGATTTATGTTCTTGCAATTCTGAGTGAAAAAGCATCCTTAAAAATATTATGGCCTGTTTTCCGACAACATGTATTTTTATGAATTGAATAAATTCACGAGATGAATAAATATAAAGTCTTTTACGACAAGCATAATTATTTCAAATGTATTATTCCGATTTTTTTTACACTTTTTATTTATTTATTTTAGAGAGATTTACTTGAAAAAAAGTAAACTTATTAACAATGTATTCTTTGAAAAGGATATTTTGATGTTTTAAGAACATTGGGGTATTTTTGTAATGACATAAAAGTAGGTGTATGTATATAAATAATGACATAATTTACATTTTAGTGAACTATCCTTTTAAGTGAAGGTGATATTTCATTGCAGTGTGTCAGAGAGAGACATAGGTCAGGTTTCCTTTTTTATTTTTGACCGTTGCTTTTCAAAAGGCATCAGGGGAGCAACTACTGTCATAAAGCTGAAGTAGAACAACTGGGGAATAATACTCATTCCCTCATGTTAGGCCTCACATTATAAGAGAGGATATAAATAAACCCGCCTAAGGAACCCTAAAGAAAAACACAGCCATTGGTAAACCATGTATAATGTCCCGGCCCAGTGCAAACAGAGTCACTGGCGAAACTTACCCTGTCAGACAGTGGCTTAGGATGAGGTAGTGCTGTTTAATTCAGTGGGACTCGAAACAAAGACATACAGGGATATATAAGGACATGCTCGAACATGTTGAGACATGTTTTGGACAAGAAGCAACAAGCTGTGACAATTATTTAGCCTGTGATGTAATTTATATCCAGCTATTTTCTGTTATCTACACCTATCATCTGTAACTCTTAACAGTTTTTGTTACCCTTTTATGTTAACCTCCAAGTGTAACTGCAGATGAAACCAGTAAGTTAAATTAGAAATGAAAAAGTATAAAATGTCATAAAAAAACAGAATCATGTTCACAAAAGTACATATAACATAAAACCAGTAACTTAATACAGAAGCCTTCAAAATGAGGACAACACCTCATCTATGAGTACTCTCATGACAATATCATTTTATGGCACAAAATGGCAATATAATATGTCATATATGATGTTATTATGAACAACTGTGGCTACAGTGACACATTGACCCCAAAAAAGTTGAACTCCAAGACCACATTTCAAATTAAAGAAGAAACACACTTTTCAAACATTTAATAAAAATAAGCTTGTTTGGAATTAAAGGATACAATATATTCGTAAGATAAAATGTTTTGGTAATAGTTGTGAAAAGTTAAAATGATGGATTACACTATTGTCAACAAGTTTGGAGTCAGTAAGGTTTATTAAAAAAATATGTTAAATTGCATTTTGGCAAGAACGCATTAAACTGATCAAAAGTGACAGTAAAGACTTTTTTAGTTTTACTAAAAAAATTCTGTCTTTCAAATTCTGAACAAAAGAATGCATCACAGTTTCTACAAAAATATTAATCAGCACAACTGTTTTCAACACTGATAATAATAAAATATTTATAAGCACCAAATCAGCATATTAGAATGATTTCTTAAAGATCATGTGACACTGAAGACTGGAGTAATGTAGTGCTTTGCCATCATAGTAATAAATTACATTTATTAACAATATGTTAAAATAGAAAACAGTTATTTACTGTATTTTTATCAATTAAATGCAGTCTTGGTGAGCATAAGAGACTACTTTCAAAAACATTTTAAAAATCTTACCGACCCCAAACTTTAAATGGAAGTGTACACCAACTTTGTACATCCACTAAAATCACTGTGACATCATTTGGCTAAAAGAAATGGTAAAATGCCACTTGGTTTGATATTTTATGTCTGTGCAACAACATTCAGACATTTTGTCAGACTTAAATGTCCAAAAGAGTCTAGATACCTTTTGGGTCAACTGTTTATTCTACGCAGCAAAATGTGTTTGCCTAAGAGTTGTAAAAATTTAATGGAAAATGAATATGATGTTTAATATTTTGGTTGGGCTGGGAAATATTTCTCCTCTGTCCATGCCAATAACATCCATGTGTGTGAGTCATACCTGTCTGTGTTGTTTCCCATGGAACAATGACGCTCCTTGTCTTCATCCTTGAATCACTGAGGGCAGGTCAACCGGACAGCCGGCGCAACACAGGGCAAGTGCAATAAACCTCACAGGGTGACCTACAGAAAGAACACAAATTAAATTTGAAATTGAATGAACGTGTTTATTCTATTTGAGAGAGTCAGACGTACTCACCCTGGATAATATTCTTGAGCTTGTGCAGTCCTATTGACAGTGATCTCATGCCAAATTTAGGTCAGTGTAGAGTTAAATCACAATTACAACTAATGGTTTTAATGAGGTGTTAGTAAAAAGATGTCTCCATTAATGAGCCATTCAAATTAGAACGTCTGCAACATTCAAAGCAGCGTCTGAGATGATGATTCTGATGCTGTGTGACACAACTGGCTGAATCAATCTCCATTATGAGGAATTCAAATTATAACCTGTCTAAAACATCTAAAAGCGGTTCCCAATTCATTCTAAATGATCAAACACCTTCAACACCAAACCATAAAAACAAGTTTTCCCTCAAGCACCATTGCTCCATTCAGTATAAATTGAGCATTTTAACATTAAATCTTTGCGTTAAACCTAACACCACTGTTATAAACCGACCATCACTGAAATAGGCATCCAGAAAATTGTCGGAGAAACAGTGGTGAAACCATAAATTCATGACTGGAATGCACAATATGTGCACTGAAGCCTCAGGGGGCAAAAACAAAGTTATCGCATGTTTCGTCATTTGAATCAGGGCAGAGAAAAGAATGGAAAAATGAACAGGGCGAGCCTCTTTTCAATAGCAAGAAACCAAATAAGTTCCATTCTTGAAGGAATGCTATAAAGTTGTAACTTGAAGATGGACAGAGCACAAAAGGTAGATCACTCATTATAATGCGTTGAGGCTATTTTTCCTTATGGTTCTGTGCCTTTAAGTTACAAAGTATCTCATTTTTTGTTATTTTTATATTAATCCGAGTACTGTTACAGTCTTACAGATTTTCAAATGCCATGAAATTCTTATTTCTTTTTTGCGTAATAATTATATTTATTTTATTTATTTTTAGTGTCATAATTTAAGATAAAAGAGACATTTTTTTTAATCTTACAACATTACAATAAAAATGACATACTTTTTCATATTTAATCATTTTCATATTTATTTAAAATATAAATAAAAATATAACATATTTTAAAAAATGTATTAATGAATTTATTTTGTAAAAACATATCAAAAGTAAAAAAAATTAAATAATACTTTCTGAAAAAAGAAGCCTAGCATTAAAATCAGGACAGTCCATTGCTTAATAGTCTTTTTTTATAATAATTGAATTTGATAATAACAGTAACATCTTTAAAAAAAACATCTCTGAAAAAAAAAACATGCTAGTGTTAAAATCAGGTCAGTACATCAAAATATGCTTAATAGTCAGCGGTTAATGATATTTCTAGGCAACAGCACAGTGCGGTCATATTAAATCTCACTATGACCTAAGATATTAAGTAGATGTCATATGTGGGCTGTTTTGATGTCTACAGGAGGTCTGGTCATCTGCATGTGTGTTTGGTCATGTGTGGTCTGTGTAATGAGAGTTAACAGCAAACCGGCGAGGGAGGAAGGATATTGATAGGCTATTTACTAGCTGAAATGGCTTTGGTCTGGCATGAGTCGACTCGGGTCATAAAGCATAG